TATTATCTAACTTAATCCTCACAGCAGGATTCCAAGATAAGAGCTATTATTACATTCCAAGGATAAGAAAAGTCACCTGAAAAGAGAAGACTTGCCGAACATCACATGTGTGGGAACTGACAGAGCCTGATCAGACCCTGTTTGCCTCCTAAACCTGTGTTCTTCTCCTATTCCACATCAGACCTTTGCTATTTGTTTCTTCCCTATAAATGAACATGCAATGAGTGCCTTTCCTACATTTTCTAAATATAAAATTGAAATTAAATCAAAGCCTCCAGGGCCTGGTTATCAGATTTCAACCTCACAGCTCCTGTCTATCATTAGACAACAGGAAAACATCACAAAAATGCAGCAGAGCAGAATAATATTTACCATCATCGTTTCAACATGAGGGAGTCTTAAAAAAAAAAAAAAGAAAAACAAAAAACAAGAGAATTCCATTATCAAGTAACTTTGAACTCATAGATAAAAGCCCACCTTAGAAACTTACAAAGAAAGTTAATATATTACTGTCTCTGAGAGCTCCTACTCTAAAGATAGCTTGTTTAACTTAGTATGTCTTAACATCTCCCAAACACACTTGTTTACACATTTCCCCTAACCCCAACTTATACCATTTAACTTCTCAGATATGTAAACCAGATGTGTCTCAGAATCAAGGTCTAGTTCATCAATTGATCTAGTTACTTTCTCACAAGATATGTATCTTGGCTTTTCTCCTTCTAAGGGACAAAGTTTCAAATGCTTATCAATTTCCAGAAGCTAGTTCAAGACCAGATTTGAGACTTTACTGACTGAAGTAGCTTTTTGATTAATGCTCTTTATCTTCCCTATACTTTTGCTAATATAACTCTATCACAAAGCTGAAAAATCACACATAAGAAGCAGTTCAGTAATTGCTATTTATATTACTCTAAGGTATGTTCCTATTATTGGGTATTAAGATGGGGAATTCCAGTAGCCCTCCCTTATCATGAGGGGTATTCTCTAAGGCCCTATAGTGGTACCTGAAAACATCTTAGTACTAAGCCCTATATACCATGTTTTCCCCACATATTCATATCTATGACTTAGTTTAATTTATATTGTAGGCACAGTTAGAGATTAACAACAGTAACTAATAATAAAAGTAAAGTTAGAATAATATACTATAATAAAAGTTACATTCTCTCTCAAACTGTCTTATTATACATAAAATTTTTGTACTGCAGTTGACCTTCACTAACTGAAGCTTTGGGAAGGGAAATCCCCAGGTAAGGGGGTTTGGGATGGGAAATCTATTCTATGAATAGTCTATGCAAAATATGTAAATGAAGGGATTTTTGTTGCTAAATTTGTTGGATAAAGTTAAATATCACTGGCAAAGATTTTTAGTAAGGTTTTAAAATAAATGCATTGAAATTGATGAAAAAATCATTACATTTAAAAGGCTAACTTTTTGGGCCCTCCCTGGTGGTGCAACAGGTTAAAGCACAACACTAACACGCTAAAGCCATTTCAGCATGAGTTCGATCCCCACCCCAGAAGTGATCCACATGGCGTTGCAGACCTTTCCTGACCTGCCCACTGCTCCCCTCAGCAGTGTCCTTCCTCAGTCAGCCTGTTCTGCTCCCCACTCTGTCTCTGATGGATCCTCTCACCACCCCTGCACCTCTTGCCTGTACCCCAGTTTTGTATGCATAAAAAAATAATTTTTTTTTAAAAAAAGGTTAACTTGTAAGTACCTGAGAAACAAACAAAATGAAAACAAAAATAAATACCCTCAAGTTTCTTAACTCTTTTTCTCCTTCTCATTTGTCCAGCAGAGATCTACTGAGAAAAATTTTACTGAATGCCTGCAAAATGCCAAGACTGGTGATTAACATGGTACCCACTCCTGGAAGTTCATAGACCAGTTGGAAATGCTATAAATAAGAAAACAGGTCACAGTAAGAGAAGGTCAGAAATCTTTCCAGAGGTTGAGTCCTTTAGGAATTGAAGGAGTTAAACAGAATGGACTGGTGTTAGGGAATAGGGTGGATTGGGGTAGGGTGGACAGAGTTTGTAAGGAAATTTGAAGTTGGGAATTTTCAAGTCCAAAGACTGAAGGTGGAAGAAGGCTGGACTCCTTTAACTTTCATCATCTTTTTTTAATTATAAGCTCTACTGCCAGTATGGTTGCTGGTCCCCTGCTCCACCAAGAGGTCATGTGGGATCAGACAAAGGCATGGACATGAGAACAGAGGGGCTGAAATGTTGCCATGGCCCTACCACTAGGCGTGGGATTCAGGCCAAGTTGCTTAACTTCTATGAACATGTTCTTTCATCTGTAAAATGGGGATAGTAGCACCCAGATAAAATGGGAGAATGTAAGTCAAACTCTTGCTTCAATTCATTTTGATCTTCTTCCTGCTCCTTGCTTCAGTTTGTTTCAGAAATTATATTGTTTCCCCTTTCTGCTTTGTCCTACTCCTCTAATTTCTATCTTGTTACCATTTTTTGGCAGGTCCACTCAAAGGGCTGAAAATGGGGGAAAGAAACATGGAGCAGGGGTAGAGAGGAGCAGGATCATAGTCTAGAAAAACTCTCTAAGTGGTTGGGATCAGCCCTAGCCTTCTCCTTCCTTTCCCTTCCCCTCCCCCTTAGATTTGCTGTTCCCAGGGATCCTTGGTTTTTGTTCTCTAGAGGCTTGAACTACCACCTGTTTTTATTGTTTAAATCCTGACTTATTGTTTAATAAAACCTGTTTTCTACAGAGTACCAGACATTAAAATTGTACAAATGTAAATACAGCAATAGCTAAGTTGTATTTTCTTTTAAAAAGATATAACACTAAGCCTTTCTTCCCAATGCTTTTCCAAATTCCCTCTATTTTCCATTTCTTTTCTAGGACTCTCCACTCATGGGAAACACTCCCTTTTTACTTGATACTTTCATTTAGCACTAAAAAAGTATTGTTAAATGCAATTCATCTATTATATTTGTCTTCCCTACTTAAGTCCCTTAAGTGGGCAGTGTCCTCCACAGCACAAAGTTTCCCAAACTTGAATATGCATAGGGTCACCTGGGGATCTTGTTAAATGCAGATTCTGATTTAGCAGGTTAGAGGAGGGACAGAGTTTCTCCTAATGAGCTCCCTGATGAAGCCACTGTGGCTGGGCCCCGGGTCACACTTGGGGTTGCAAAGTCTGATTGGATTTAAAACAAAGGAGGTACACAAGAAATGGCTACTGCACTATGCCTTGGTCCTCTCTACTCAGTGTCTTCACATTTTGTTCAGTACATTTTTCTCCACTTTTTCATCTGCATGATTTATGCCTAACAGTTCACAATTATTCCTTTGGTAGCTATTCCTTTATTTCCTTTCCATAGTCACTGGTCTTGGCCAGAAATGGGTAATAAAGGGAGTAAGTACTACAGTAACCTTCAGCCTATTTCTCCTGTCATCTACTTCCCCTTAACAGTGGCAAGATTAACTTTTTAAAGAATCACTCACCTCTTTCTTGCTCAACAACCTATAGTAGGCCCCAATCTATGTCATATCAAACTCAAACTCAAGATGAGAGTTGTTGCAAGACATTTCACTAACCCTCACTATCCTTTGCTAGTTATTTTCTCCTTTTCCACCACTGAACCCCTCTGCACATTGCCAAGATATGAATTAGGCTCTTGAAATTCTTTTCAGGACATTTTACATTGAGTGTATCTTCTTCCATTCCTTTTAAAAGGAATTTGTTCATCAAAACAATTCTCAATCTTCAGCTACAAAATACAGCTGTTTCTGATTTACTCCCAGCTTTAAGTCCTTCACTTAATTAGGTATTAATTAACTAGGTGAATTACTCATTTTAATGTTGTTACTTTTTTTCATATTTTTCATATTTTCTTTTAAATAGGAGTTATGTATGTTTGCTCATGGATCTATCCCCATCACCTAAGAAAGCTTGACACCCAAACATAGTGAAACATGTTAAGAATTTAGCATAGTTAAGATTTGGGGGCTGGGGGTAGTGGTGGGAGGGAGGCTCAATGAAGGATTAAAGAAAACTTAGATTAAATTTTACCAGTTTTCATAATGACTTATTTACTGGAATGTGGATGCATGCTAATAGTTAAATCAAATTAGACAATTCTGGTAGCAGAGCTCTGACACTGTAAAAGCATTAAGTATCAGCTAGCTCACATCAGATGATGGGGCGTATTACCACAACATGTTAAAAAAAAAAGTATTGGCCAAAGAATAAAAAAATTTAGAAATCCCATAAGGAGTATGTTAAGAGATAAAAAAAAAATCTGAAGTTTACTAACACGTCTACATTGGACTAGGGTTCAGCCACCATCCTACTCGTAAAATAACAGTTAGAGACAGCGAAAATCTAATACTGGCCCCAAACCCACATCCTATCTAAAAGGCTGACGCTTTCCTGTCATTGTTTTCAGTATACTCCTCACACTTTGCATTCATTGGATTGCATTTTTCGTAATAGCTCTTGATGCTTTTAATTCAAAAGAAATAACATTGGACTTTCTTATACTACAATTTTCAAAGGAAAGAGCACTGCGAGGAGGCCCACTCAGCGAGGTGTAAGAGGCCTGCACAGCCGGCACACCCTGCAACTGCTTGGTGCTCCGATTTCATCTATGCGTTTTTATACATTTCTTCTTTTATTTGGATGGTGCAAACCGCGCAAGTGCAGCATTAAAACCTCCCCACCCTGGGAAACGATGCAAGAACATGCAGCTTAAACTGCCAGGTTCTCCCAAACACACAGGCTAGGGCTGGAGGCCCGGATACCCGCCCCCAAAGCCCGTCCACAACAATCGTTTCCTCCCTCCCCGCCTTTTACATACAGTACACATACAAATACACACACGCAGAGCAGCCAGCAGGGGCGGGCCGGGCCAGACCACTGCGCAAACCGCAGGGGGAGCCTCAGCGGGCGCACTTATTTTCACCACGCTGTTGCTCTTTGTCACCCACCCCTCTCTCCGTCTGGCCGACGCATTTTTAAAAAGCTGACCTGGGGCCATAGCGAGTCTGATATTCTGCTTGGGCGCCGCACCCCTCAGGCGGGAGTTGTGCTGTCCCCCCTCTCCTCGGGGAGAAGTTGGTTCCGCCCCAGTGCTAGCGGGCGCCGAGCGGGAGCCGCGCGGGAGCAGCGCAGCGACGGCGGCGGTAGCGGCGGCGGCGGTTGCCATTCCGAGCCGTTGAGACGCCTCTGCGGCAGCTGGTGGCGCAGGTGGCTTGCGTGGACGCGAGCACAGGCGGCTGGCCCGCAACCGCAGCCTCAGCGCCCGTGGCCCCGGCAGGTGAGCGGCGGCGGGGACTCGCCCCGCCCCCCCCTTCGGTGGCCTCGCTCCTGGCTGTAGCGGGGAAGTGGCCGCGGCCCGCCGGGGAGCCGATAGGCGGCCTGAGGCGGCGACGTCGGGAAGCAGGTTGGGGGAGAGGTCGTGCGTAGACGGAGGGGGAGCACTCCCCCAGGCTTTTGCCATCTTTTCTCTCTTCCCACAGACCTCTCCCCTCCCTTTGGGGTTTAAGCCCGGTGAAAAAAGCCCGAAGGAAGATGGGGCGGGAGAAAGGGGGTTCGGGGCTGGGAAGCATCTCTCCCTCAGGTGGTGGCGTCTCTTCGGTCGTCGAGCGGGGGACCTGCGGAGACCCGG